AGCATTTATCTGAGCACATATTATCTGTTCATATTGGCAATCCTGATATACACACATGCAAAATGTTGTATCAGATGGCCATCCAATTGTTAAAATGCACCATCAAGAATTAACAGTGTTATAGTTTCTTGTGGTTGGAAGGTATAAAAACAAGTGAAATTTATCAGTGATATACATCATACTGAAGATGATGTTGCATCACTTAAAATACTTGCTTTGATTTTTTACATATTATTAAAGATTAATTCACAGTTTGTATTCTTTATAAGAATTGATATCAAGTTTACCAATGTCCTTTTTAAGAAATGGAAACTACAAAAAAGCACTTTTTTCTATTACTAAAGTCTAGAACAAGATGGCTAAAAGAATGTTTCAATTGAGTTTTTACTATGCTGTTGACAGTATAGATTAACTCCAAAGTATATAGCTCTTAAAACTATCTCATTTCCAAATTGTGTGGGATCTTTATTGTTAGAGGTTGAATGCAAGTTGTTACATTTGATCCAGTATAAGAAAAATGGTAGCTCTTGTGAACAACATTATATCTAGTTCATCTATATTTTATCATACACTGTGACTCTAAAGGATTGTATGCAACTAGCCAAATTATATGCTATTTAAGAAAGGAGTCACCGAGCACTAAAAGGAAATTAGATAAAAAATTCTATTGGTTATGTCAGGGATGTAAGGTGGGTCAATGGCCTGGAGGAAATACCTTATTGCAATGTACAGTGCATTATATTATTATTTTATTCAAACTTATACATTATAATAACATTTTTTAATACATCTTGCATATTTTAAGATTGTTATTAATGTGTTTTTAAAATGCATTCAATTTAAAGGACTTTTGGCAATAGTGGCATCCATTTTACCTAATTAGTCTGTTAGATTGAGAGTTTACTGTATATTGATAAAAAGTTTAAATAGCTTAGAATCATTAAAAAAATGTTAAAATTTGTTATATTTATTATACAAAAACGATAGATTTTAAACTTTAGCTTAATTATTTCAAACAGTATTAAAAATTTTAATCATCTCATTGAATATGTAAATCAATTGGCTTAAGACAAAATTATAGAAATGCAACTACCATTTCCTATCAGCTATTTCTACACTGAAAGTTATTTTTATATGTTTAGAAAAAAAAAACAAATTACAAGTACTAGCTAAAGTACTATAATTATCAAATTAATGAAAAATACTAGATCTTGTAGTATTTTTCAGATATGTAGAGAGAATCATAGTAGAAACTGTTTTTCAGATATTTAGAGAGTACTCAATGGAATTAAACCCAGATGATTGCCAAATTATTTTGGGCTATATTACTACAACTATTATTAATTAAATGCTAAGTGATTTGGCACTAGAGATAGGTGTCAGGTGCCATTTCTTGCTAAATTTAATAATTATAATTAAATTTATATTTTAATAATTTGGCTTTAATATATAACTATTAGGTTTGGATGTTTATATTTATGTATATATGTTACCGGCCAAACCCGATTTCAGGCCAAACTAGTTTATCCTATGCATGTCAGGATATACTAGTTTAGCCTAAATACTTTAGGCTTAACTAGTTTGACCTAGGCCGGATTGATTTATGTACTACAAATAGGTACCAGTGTAAAAAATATGATTTTGTGTAATTTGAAATGCCACCATAGTACACCTGGTGGTTAAAGTGTACCTAGATAACCGCAATGGTGGTGTTTTGGTTAGGTTTGTTTGGTTAGGTTAACTACATTTTTAGTAGGCGTTTCCTTTTTTTCTTTTGTTCAAGAACTACCGTGAATCAATAACTAGTGACGTTAAACAATGGGCGGCCTGCTGGTGGCTCCCCTTCGGGAGGAGTCCACCAGGAGCACGAACAGTCTGAAGTGCTGCCATTGGGGTTACCTAGGTACACTTTAACTCACCCTGTAAAAATAAATAAAAGATTAAATATTTTATATGTTGCATTAAGAAACACAAACAAGTTCATTTTTAATTTTAGTTTGACTTTAAAAGTTATTTTTATTATTT